TCCGCTGCGCGTAATGATTTCTGCTGACCAAGGGCTGAGAGCGTCCCCCAAATGAGGGCTCCTGCGGGGCTCAAGACTGGGGGGCGGGGTTTCCCAGGCTCTCCCTCGAGCTCCGGGCTTTCCTTGCCTGGCCCGCTCTCTCTACGCTAGGGTCTCCGACCCTCCTCTGGGGAGGCGTGTCGGTCGCACGGCTGCGGAGCCGCTGCTTTCCCGCAACTCGCCTGGAGAGGGGGTTTCCGGAAAACGCTTCAAGTCCGGGCGGCTCCCAGGGTTTTCCTGAGCCACGGGCGGGGGGCGAACCCCGCGTAGGTCTTCCCCAGCGCGGCGCCGAGGGCTTGCGGGGAAACTCTCCAGGCGCGCACTGGGCGCGCGGGTGGACCCGGCCCTGCGAGGTAAGACTTCGAAGAAATGCGCGGGCAGCAGCAGCCACAGGCGGGGGAGGCCAGCGGGGGGCTCCCCCCGCTCCCATCCCCCGATTCGATGTGGGGTTCCCGAGACCTGGCTGTAGCCAGAAGGCTATGGGCAATTTCCTCTGGCGACCTGGCACTCTGGGGCTGGTTTTGAATCCCTCGCCCAGTGTTCCCATCCAATTGAGACACCTCCTGTGTGCACCATTGTTAGAGGGTTCTTCATACACCTAGACACACTCTTTCCCCGCGCCCCAGCGTCTGCACTGCCCAGCCCCCATTTGATCCCTTTCTTAAAAAGCAGTCCGGAATGCACCTGGGCGTCTTCTCTCTCCCTGGGTTATATTCTCGGTTTAAGGGCAAATCCCAGCCGCTCAGCCTAAGGTATGGCTCACCCGCTACCAACACTTTAGGACAGCGTGACACCCTCTATTAGCTCAAAAATTGGTTAAAGGGGCAGTTCAGAGTGAGAGCTGGCCAGAGAAGGTTGGAGTCTGTGTTAGTACAGAAACAGACCCTCAGCAGACAAGGATAGGAAGGCAAAAGGGCCCCCAACTCTCTGAGGAATAGCATGAAGTTTAAATTTGAATTCTTAGCCTGCTTGTGTACACACACACACACACACACACACACATAGAGAGAGAGAGAGAGAGAGAGAGAGAGAGAGAGAGAGAGAGAGAGAGAGAGAGAGAGAGAGATTGGGAATATTGGATGCAGCAGGGTTTGGGTGGTGGGCAGCCCAGCGGAGTCTTTTCTGCCCTACCCATTGGACCGCAGGACTTCGAATGGGGGGTGGGGATAACTAGGGTGATGACATCACCGGAGCTGGCATTTCTACTTTTGAGCAGTTCAGAGCAGACAGTTTCCCGCACAGATGCTGGGAGGCATGATCTCTCAATGTCCTTGGATCTCCTTGAGGAGTGCTCTTAACTGCCTGAGAGCCCTGCCTGCCCCGTGCCCAAAGACCTTTCTTTGGGTCGCTTGCTAGTTTCTCAGTTCACCAGAAACCACTCTGCGGTAACCCAGCTGCAGGCAGCAGCAGTACACACAGAGCATTCTCCCCTCTAGGAACCCTTTCCTGACCATCCAGACCATGGTCTTGTCCCCCCTTCAGGTTCTTACAGCTAGTGAGTCTCCATTAATTTGAGCACCAGTGATACCAAGTAGCCCATGTCCCTCTGGATTGAGTTCCTTGAGGGAAAGAAAGAACCGACTTCATCCCAGGAGCCTGGGCACCACCACAAGGGTGGACAAAAAGCAGATCAATTCCACCAAGAAGCAAAGGACCCTGGAACTTAACTACTGGTGATGATGAAGGGAACCCTGGGAGAAGATGGAGGATATGACTAAGTTTCTATTTCCTAGGGACCACTGTCCCAGGCTGGACAGGGGCCTCCTGTTTTCTCCACCTATACCTAACTCACCTTCAATATGATTAGCACCATCCATCTAGAGCCAACTTTGGGTATAAAATTGACATTTAGATAAGTCATAATAAACCCAACTGAGGTTGAGCCTCTCCTTCTGTCCTCCACATAAGAATATTAATATAGGATATCTGTGGTGTGCCAGCAAAATCTGAGGGATTGGGTGGAGAAGGGAACCTTTGTGGGCTCCATGTTAGGAGGTTAGACTCGTGCTTAGGAATAGAGGAGAAAGCCAGCAGCTCAAGAACTGTGTGCTAGAAGCTAGATCATATCTTCTCCACTAAAGGGTTGGAGGCTTCCTGAGCCTGGCCTAGTTAGGGAAGACGTCCTGGAGGAGAAACACATACCACCCCAGAGAAAGATGTCTGCTGTCCTGCTCTATCACCCTCAGAGTCTCTCACTGAACCTATATGGGGGAGGAAGAGCAGCCTGCAGGTCCCAAGGACCATCCTGCGTCTCCCAACCTTTGGTACTGTGATTACAGGCCCTAGATTTCTATGTGGGGCTGAATATTAAAACTCAAGTCCCTGTGCTTGCACAGAAAGCACTCTTGACTCTCTGTAGCCCCTGTGACCAGTACTTTATGCTTTATTTAAACTACCCCAAATTGTCACATTGTTGGGCTAATTGTGGCCAAATTTTGGCAGTGTTCTTGATCCTGTTTGCAAACAAGAGAACCTAAGCCTAGAGAGTTTAAACAACTTGCCAAATACCTCACAGCAAGAAAATGATGGAGCTGGAACTCCAGCAAAGGTTCCACAGCAAAGGTTCTGCCCTCTTGTCCAGCTGCCTTTCCTATGTGGGGAAGGGCATGCACAGGCGCAGGAGCAAGGGCCGGCACAGGTGCAGGAGAGAGGACAGGCACAGGTGCAGGAGAGGGGGCAGGTGCAGGAGAGAAGGCTGGCACAGGTGCAGGAGAGAGGGCAGGTGTAGGAGAGAGGGCAAGTGCAGGAGAGAGGGCAGGCACAGGAGAGAGGGCAGGCACAGGTGCAGGAGAGAGGGTAGGCACAGGTGCAGGAGAGAGGGCAG